GGTGGGGAAATTCGGGAGAGATTGGTTGGGGGAAACCTTCCCAACCAATGAGATACACCTCTACGTGGTGGTTGGGACGAGTAGGAGAGTTATTCTCCGAAACTAAGTATCTCAAATTTTTTATTTTTTTTTTTAAGACTGTATTTTAAAAATAAATAAATAAATAAATTTAATTATTATAGAGTTTTTTACTGGTATAAATTGTTTCTGCAGTATAAATAAAAAATTCAAGAAAATTTCTTACATACTATAAAGATTTTGAATAATCACGTTTTTAGAAGACAGGTTTATTTTCTCACTACAGTCAAATTCACTAACGATGTATCACTCTTCTCAGATTACAATTTACGATAAACTTTAAACAAAATCATTTTATTAGAAATGTAATATATACCACCTTGAATTAAATATCAAATCAAACCAAAAATGCAAAATTCCAAAGATTTACTTTTTATGTAATATCATTTATCGAATGAATAATATAATTTGTCTCCAATAATCCATTCTTATTTCTAAACGTTACAAATTTTCATCACATTATTTTTATATCACGAATTGTCAACTTGAAAATGATCAAATTACTGATATTTCAGCTTAAGAACCATGTTAATTAATGATCATTTTTTTCTCATTCAAAATATGTGGCTAGTCATAAAACTCAAATTTTAAAATACAATTCGACTTATCATTAAGCAAGAATGTAACTTATTTTAATACTCATGCAATTAATTAGCATTAGCGGACAAAATAATGTATATTCATCAAGGCGAGACACAAATATCAATAATATTTTGAATAACGGCAAGGTGTTGAACTGTCAAAATATTAGAATTTTGAAACATTACAAATAAAAAGATTTATAAGGTTATTCTTTTTATTGGATTATTAAAAGAATCTAAAAGTCCAATGGGTGTTCCAGATTTTTATCAATACAGTATTGCGGTTTATGTTTTATAGCGTTAATTAAAAACCTTAATGTTAATATCATTTTTCATTGATCTAAAAGTATATCACTTACGCACTATATCTCTAATGATATAAAGTATATTTGATGTTATACAAGAAGTATGACTATATATATATACAAAAAAAAAAAAAACGACAATTTTTTGTAATGGTCAAAGCTTAAGCGTGAATTATTATCATAAGAAGTCGATCAGCTGATTTTGAAAAAAAAAATCGACCGGCTAAGCCGAAGAGTTATCATTATTTTCATCTCCATCAGCGATAGTTATACTTTTTCCCTTGCCTTTTTTATTTTTAATATCATTTGCATTTGTATTTCCTAAAGAATCAATAGTCGAATGCGTAGCGTTCGTATTTTCAGAAGATTGGGCATCTGCATTCGTCGTAGAAGACGAGTTTCCATCCGTCGTACGTATTTCCGCCACCGGAACTTCAGGTAGTACACTTATAACTTGTGTTAGCATATTAATAGCATTGTATAGATGCCCTTGAGTTTCCTGTAATATTCGTAACCTTTCAACAAGTGCCTCTCGTGTTGTTGTTTCTAGGAGGCGTATTTGATCTTCTGACAAGTGATTTAATATATTAGTTTCTGCATTTGTGGTACCATTATCTCTCAAAGGTAAAAGAGGGAAAAGAGGTATTAAACCAGGTGGAGCATGTAGAGGAAATTGTGATACATAAGGTTGGTAGTTTATCGATGATGGTTGAGCAGAATTTAATTGCCTAAACGCTGTTGCAACGTTTGGATCCCATGGCCACCTAGGCATCACAGATGGAGACTGCCTTCGCTCCGGATTAGTTGTTTGAGCACCAGATGTTGGAGCAGATTCTTCCTATACACAAAAGAGATAAATTAATTTAATCAAAATAGTTATATAATCTTGTATGTAATATTTAAATTGCAGTATCTGTCTATATATAATCTATGATATTACCTCATTTAGTGATCGATCTCCTGGATTTATGACATTAGGTGTGTTAAGTTGCGTGCTGCTTTGTGAATTTTGAGAAGTACTTTGCTGTGCAGATTGTTGTGTATTTTGACTTGTCGTCGTATTTGCCTGCCCATCGATATTACGTTCATTAACATTAGCAAGATGATTAGGTGGACCATGCCACTGTCCGTGCATTCCTGGAGGTGGAAAAAATGTCACTGGGGGGAATCCTGGGATGGGATTTGTTAGGAATCCGGGAGGATTCGCAAAAGGAATTCCAGGTAATTGTGGTTGAGGCTGAGGAGGTTGTGGACCATTATTGTGTTGAGCTGGCATAGGACGTGGTTGTGGTGGAGTAGGTGTAGGTTGCTCTTTAAATAATAATAATAATATTATTATTATTATTGTTAGAAAGAATTATGTTATGAGATATGGATGAAACTATTATTCCATAGTCAGCAATGCTAAAGACCAAAAAGAACTTTTATTAAATGATACATGTATCATTTAACAAAATTGACTGGTCTTAATGATCATTAACTATATTACAATCGGGACTTGATTTAATAATGAGGTCAGGAAATATAATAAGGGACTTATTAAAATGTTGCTGACGTCTATATTTTACTTATAAAAGGGTTCATTAAAGCAAGATATTAATTAATGATCGTTAAATAATCACTAAATCAAGCCCTGATTGTATATATTATAAAGAGTAGTTTTGGCACTTACGTTCAGACAAAACGGGTCTACGACTTTAATGGGATTATAAACAAAAATTAATAAATATTGCATGGTGAAACGTATGAAACTAAAAAAAAAAAAAAGCTTAAAAAGGGTAAAATTTCCCTACCAAGTAGGACAACTCTGCTGTCTTTCCAGCCAACTACGCAAGCAATGAAAATGAAAAATATGGCCACAAGGTAATTTTTTGGGAATATCACTTGGTCCATTATTTCCTTGCCTAGCCTGAGGCCTGCCATTGATATCTTCTACGTTATTATTGTTATTATTGTTGTTATTATTATTGTTATTATTATTGTTATTATTTATAGGAGCAGCAATCATTTCCTCTCTACATATTATGCAAGTGCGATCGCTTAATCGCTCAAGTTCATCATTGGTTGCATTAGGATAACGTTCATCCATATTCCTAGTGGCGCGACGATATCGAATAAGATCTCCACATTTTTGAAGGAAAGAGCGAAGTGTAACGTATACGTCACGAATAATATGTAGAGGGATGCCATAATATACGAGAATTATTGCGAAAAAGATAAGATAGGTGATCAATTTGAAGAAATCTAACAAATTGTCAAGATATTGTTAATAATTGCAATATATTATAAAATTTATGTATTAAAAATCTTTACCCGTCACGAGTTCCAGATAGAAAACGTATATTGATTTATT